TAAAAAACCTCATCTCTTGGATTTCATCTTCCCTTAGTAAGTTCTTCGCATACACAGCACACACACTCCCCCACAAATGCTACACTATTAATCCAGCTAGTTCTCCCACAGGCTGAGAAGGGAGAAATGGTTATTGCTGTATCTACAATCTACAACATCTATTGCTGTTGGGAGGAGGGATAGCTCAGTGGTTTGAGCATTAGCCTGCTAAACCCAGGGTTGTGAGCTCAATCCTTGAGGGGGCCACTGGGGGATCTGGGGCAAAATCAGTACATGGTCCTGCTAGTGAAGGCAGGGGGCTGGACTTGATGACCTTTCAAGGTCCCTTCCAGTTCTAGGAGATGGGATATCTTTATTAATTATTATTATTATATACTTTTAAGTATGTGGGGGCGATGCTCAGATATTGTTTATGGTGATGGGGACCAGACAAGCCAGTAGATCAGATAGATTCAATAGAGCTTTAATTCACATATGCAGCCTTTGGAGAACACAAGACCCATGTTGTGATGTTCCAGCTTGATTTAAGGGGTCTTGCTGTACATAATTTAAGGCAGAGAGACGCTAAGAGGGAGAGACAAGGACAAAAGAGGTTTTCAGCTATGATTTGAAATGGATGGAGAGATACAGAAAGGCTGTTCTAGGCAGCAGGAGACGCACAGGAGAAGGTGCTTGCACAATAGGTGACTAGACTTTGAGCAGGGACGGAGCGGGATTTGGAAGGAAGAGACACACTAAGATGGTAACGTTGCTTGGACTGAGGCCTGGTCTACACTATAAGGCAGCTTACGTCGATCTATGTCACTTGCTCCTGCCGCTGTAAGTGTCCCACTACACCGACATACCTCCACCTCCATGAGAGGCGTAGGGCTTGTGTGGGTGTGGTTAGGGTGACGCAGTGTTTTACATCGACTGCTGGCTGTCCTGGCAATGGCAGGAGCCATGAAACGGACAGGAAAGCTGGGAAGCGAGAGTCCAGCTGCCCCCCACTCCCTGGAGAGCCGGGCGGTTGGACCCCGCTCCTGGCTGGGAGTCAGGGCAAGAAGGCTGGGTGGCTGGACCCTGCTCCCGGGGGGGCAGCCCGTGAGCCTGGGAGTCTGTGAGGCTGCCAGGGTCCTAGCAGAGCTGATTACCGCAGTTACCCTAAGTCGAGCCTTTTTTAAAAAGTGGGGGAGGGGGGATTTTGAAGCAGATCAGGAGATGAACAGGGCGCCTGGACAGCGGTGACTTGGGAAGGCCGTGGAGGAGGAGGAACCGGGCTATGTAGAATTAACACACTTGTATACAGGTGTGTTGATATCTGTGTTCTGCAAGACTAACCCCGTAAGCAGCCACTGACCAGATGAGCTTAAGGGCGAGTGTGCAGGGAAAAGAGAGGGCGGCTCCCCAGCCTGGGTTTGAATTGCCAGCAGGGGTTACAGCAGGCCGTAGGCTCCAATGCAGAACTGTAATGAAGAGAATCAACCAAACAGCACATTATGCTGTTGATGAAACTAGACGGAAGGCATTTGTTCAAGAGGCCAAGCAGAGCAAGGTTTGTCCCCGGGGGCAGCGCACGTACTGGATGGGAGCTGAAGGGACAGAGAGAGTTCTTCACTCCTGAGGCTGGGATGTCGCCTGAGAAGCTGCTGACTACACAGCAGGGGAAACTTGGGTCAAGAAATAAAGGAAACTTCACAGCCAACCGCGTGGCTTCTTTTAATGACTGTCTGCAGCTCCAGCCTGCCAGGAAAGGTGTCGGCACCTTTGTTCTCTCTCTGATTTTGTAGCGTTGTCATCTCAGGGACTCCTGGTGACTTATTAAAAGGTAAAGGAAAAGGAAACAGTTTAATGCATTTTCACACCTCCTTAAAAAAATCATTTGCTCCTGAATGGTGGTCAGGTAGAGAGCTTTAGCTGCGGCTTGCCCCGGTCAGGAGTTAAGATATGGTTTACTGCTTCACGATTGAAAATAAAAGTCTTACGTGAATAGTGTCTAGAGTCACCAATTACCAGCTTTAACTGCAGCGCCGGCCAGCAAGGCGGTGGAAAGCAGATGATTCAGGGATTGCCATATTGCCGATGACATTTATAGGGAAATGACACTTAATGGGTCAGAACTTGCAGAGGGGTAGCTTTCAAAGAGGCAACTGCTTCTCTTTCCAACTCACCGGCAGAGCCTGGAGAGAAAGACGGGATGTGCTGAGGTCCGTCTAACTTCCTCCTGGCCCTCTTGATGGCCTGAACGCCAGCCCGTGCAGAATGCAGCTCACCGGCACAGAGGGCACGTCTACACAGCAAAGAAAAACCCACGGCTGGCCCGTGCCAGCTGATTCGGCTCCGGCAGGGCTGTTTCATTGCTGCGTAAACTTCTGGACTCAGGCTAGAGCCCAAGCTCTGGGACCCTTCCCGCCCCCCACCTCACTGGATCCTAGAGCCCAGGCTCCAGATAGTGAAACTGCCCTGCAGCCCAAGCGCTAGTCAGCTGCCACGGCCTGGCTGCAGATGTCTAGTTGCTGTGTAGACAAGAGAAGCCCATTCTTATCTCCCTTCCGGTCACAGACTCATAGACTTTAACGTCAGAAGGGACCAGCATGATCATCTACTCTGACCACTGGCACACTGCAGCCACAGACCCTCACCCCCCCACCCCCCGCTCCTGGAATAGACCCCTAACCTCTAGCTGAGCTACTGACGTCCTCAAATCGTGGTTTGAAGACTTCAAGTTACAGAGAATCCACCATTTACACTAGTTTAAACCTGCCAGTGACCTGTGCCCCACGCTGCAGAAGAAGGTGAAAACCCCTGCAGGGTCTCTGCCAATCTGACCCAGGGGAAAATTCCTTCCTGACCCCAAATATGGCGATTAGTTAGACCCTGAGCATGTGGGCGAGACCAGCCAGCCAGACACCTGGGAAAGAATTCTGTGTAGTAACTCAGAGCCCTCCCCATCTAGTGTCCCGGTTCCAGCAGTTGGGGATTTTTGCTACTGGCAGTTGCCGATGGGCCACACGCCATTGCAGGCAGTCCCGTCAGACCATCCCCTCCATAAGCTTATCAACCTCAGTCTTGAAGCTAGTTCAGTTTTTTGCCTCTACTGCTCCCCACTCACTTCCAGATCCAGTACAAAATGCCCTCTGCCTATCTAGGGACGTTTACAAACCTTCCATGAGTGTCAGCCTCTTCTTAGCTCATCTAGTGGCAACATTTCTCTGATTTCTCCCAGCGCCCTGGCTAGCCCTGGTCTGTGAGCCTTCTCCTGTATCTTATCACTGTTCTTTCTGTATTGAAACCTCCCCTGAAACCCTCTCTTCTGCCTCCTGCAGCTGGCTCTCCAGGTCAGGGGGTGGGGTGTGAAATGCTCTCCTTCGCACTCCCCGGATCCTGGCATTGCTTTGTGCATGGCTGGGCCCTCCACGCACTGAGAGACAGAGCAATATCCAGGCTGCTAACTTACACAGGGGTCACAGGGCGCTGAAAATGCAGCCCAGGATCAATGTGCCCCAACCGTGCTCTCTTTTCTCTAGTCCTTTTCCCGGCGAGGCTGTAAGCCGCTGGGAGCCCCTACACCTGGGTGATCCTCCCCAGACTTGCCTAAAGCACGTTTACAGCAATGGCACAGCAGAGAGGCAGTGCAAAGCCAGGAGGAGCCGGAGGAGCTGCCTGGGTGTATTTCCCATCGCGAAGCATGTGCACTTTGGGAGACAGTTGGCGTGACAGACACTGCACAAAATGGGATTGGGTGGTGCAAGCTTTTCCCTCGCTCCTGCGAAGAGCACATGGAAGCCTTCCCACCGTCCCATCCCTGCAAACTGATCAGTGCAAGAGCACTGTGAGGATTTGCTCCCACGAAAAAGCAGGCTCAGACTACGCTTGTGCACACCCACTGGGCTACCAGAACAAAATGCTGCCAATCCCACGGCATCCTTCTCATTCAGGGCCTGAATCCTGCTCCCAGCCAAGTCAATGGCCTAATAGCTTTGATGGCTTCAAACCTGAGCAAGGAGCATGTAGATTCAGGTTTAATGCTGTGCTAACCAAAGTGAGATTGCGCAGCGGAGGGGGAGTACAGGAAATTGTCACTTTTGAAGTGCAGTTCAGCTCCGAAAAGGGACCCTTAAAAACGGCCTTGGGAGATCTTTCACGGACTCCAGATGAAACGTACTAAATTTATGAGAAACTGGTGTTTCCAACGGCCAGCTCCACAGCCTGCCCCTCACGTCTGAGTCAAGCTGGGTGCTGCTCTCCAGCTTCTGTATCATCACTGATAAGAGGATTCTGCTATTGGAACCGAGTTCATCATTCTGATGATGATGCAGAAGCCAGGAGAGAATCCAGCTCCCTTTCCCACAGCTGGGTTGTCTCTGCAGGGCTAACAGGAGTAAAAAATGAATTTTGTTACCGAAGTCAGCAGATCTGACTCCGAATGTGCAGAGAAGCCTTTTTTCCACACAGTCATTTTTCTTGCCATAATCAAGTGGGCCATCCAGATGCCCCGGCTACTCTCTACTGACAGAGTGCCGTGCCAGCGTTAGCGAATCTACAGGCCATGGACCGCCGTAAACATCACACAGCAGCAATCTAGGAAATGTTCATCACTAGAGATAAGCAAAATGCAGGTCTGGCTACTTACATTTCTCCTTGGAACAAATACAGGCTGAGGACCAGCACAGGTCTGTGTGGGCCCTGAGCAGAGATGAATAGGGACCCAAACATGTGTATGTTACACGGGTGTGCCTGTGGCATGTGTGCATGTGTAAAAGAGCCCAGCTGGTGCGTGGTGAGACCATTAGTTGTCATTTGAAGCTACTGAGCTCATTTCATGCTGGATTTCACAGTGTCCCAGGGATGAAAGGCCAGTGCTAAAGCCTAAGGATGCCTTCACTAAGCTCCTCTGGCTGGCGGGTTATTTACAAGTGCTGCACTCGTCTCACAGGGAGGACACAATGCACAGTACAAAAGGAAAAAGGGGTTGCCAGTTCTTTAGGGACAACACCAACCAACAGCGGTCTCTCTCTTACCTTTGGTGTCATTCACCGGATCCATGTGCCGGTAAATATATCCTTCTAGGTAGGAATGGAATTTGGGAGTGGGTGGGAAGAAGGCCAGGCAAATAGCCATTAGCTCCCAGCCCCGTGCCAGACTCTCATAACGGAAGTTCTCAGTGGTCTGCCGGCAAAGCTGGATGTACAGCTCGTCCCTCAGACCCTGCATGCTCCAGCCCTTGGTGGCGATCTCCAAAGCCACGTTGAGTTGATCCGCCTTGGCCCGCCGGTCCCCCATGTACATCTGAATCAGTTTAAATATCTCACAGGCTTCCTTCTTGACGTTGCGGTCGGTGGTCATGATCATGGGCTTCTTGATGGACTCGCTGCTCCAGGCCAGCATGTTGGCAATGGAGACCTTCCTCCGGAAGAGCCCTTGGGTGTGCTTGTTGAAGTGCTTGGAGGCCCAGTTCTCAATGTCCGTCTCCGAGGAGGGCTTTCGTAGGGTGAAGGTAGGGAAGACACAGCTGGCACTAGGCATCATATTTCTGTTCTGTCTGCTGCTCTCAAACTGGGCACAGGCACCAAGATCCTCCGACTGAGAAACAATAGCCAGACAAGTCATTGTTACTACCTGCATTGACCCACTTAGATCCTTCACATACAGTGAACAGCAAATCAATCATTACAGAATTAACAGGGCACTCAACGCACCCACCAGGATGTGGACGCTCCTAGGAGAGGGATTCCTAAACCCTACAAAGATGTAAAGCTAACAGACAGAATCATGTATAATAAGTAAAACACTTCAGCAGTCACATTTCACCAGCCAATATCATCAGTTACTCACTGGGAGAGAGCGTATTAGAGCAGGTGAGCGAAGCCACTGATCAGCCGATGCCATTGCTCCGTTCATCCCCCCCTCCCCACCAATCACTATGGCCATTTGTGCTCACTCCTACTTACAGCTATGGGCAAAGGAAGCCAGTGGGACAGTTGCTGGAACTCCATGGAGAGCTTCCCGCAGGGTGGAAAGCAGACTGGAATGGCAGATTGCATTACCTGCCGCAGGCCTCTCCACGTAACTGGGATATATACAAGTCACCATCTCAGACCACTGGTAGGCTATACATGTTTATCCAGCTCAGTGTACGGCTGGAAAGGGAAGACACTCACCTGTAACCAGAGTCTGCTGAGTAGAAGATGCTCCACCAAGCCACACTTCGAACGTCCATGTGCCCTGAGAGGGGAGGGCCTGTTGGGGTCTATACTGGGGCCGTGCTTTGTATTCAGAGTTGAATACAAATAGGTGTGAATGAGATTTGTCCCTCTGGAAGTTCAGAAGCTGAACACTGGGCTGGCTCTGGACTAGGCAGAAATATAGCCCCATTCAAGAGGAATATGCTGCACAAGCAGGCGGTTATTCACCCAACAGACTGCGGCCTGGAAAGATTTAGTTCTTTAAAACCTCCAGACAGGCAGGCAGGCCTTGGACATTACTCTGCAGAGGATTGTGTCCCGTCCTGCCCTGCGGCGGGCTCGCTATAGCACTGAGAACGCCTCTGGCATGGACATTTGTTTGTGGCTTTTCTCTGAATTGTGCTGTGCAGCCCCTCACTGACTAGGCACGTGGCAGCAGTGTACAAGCACCAGCCCTCCACCTCACCCTCCAGGGGTGGGCAGAGAGGGGACCTGGCCCGTGCCCCAGACCCCGGTTGGTTAAAGGACTGGGAGGAAATCCCACGTGCGTTCGCTCTCTCATTGGAAGCAAATGACACCAGGAGCTCAGCCCAGTCCAAGTGGGGACAGGGGATTGGTTACAGGACACGGCTTGGTGGTGGGAAGAGGACCATGAGCTTGGGCAGTGAACACACAAAGCAGACCCAGACGCAGCCTGGATTTGGGGGGTTGGGGACTGGCACATTGAACAGGTCAGGGCCTAGCGGTAGCCAGACAAGAGGTGTGGTCCAGACACAGCGGAGGAGACCTGACCATCATGGCAACCACAGAGCCAGACACCAGGCAACACAGCAGAGAGCGGGTCTCACCACTCAGAGCTGGCATTGCTCCCTGCAGGGGCAGAGGAGCCCAGTTCTGGCCCTGAAGCTGGGGCAGTCTGGACTGTGACTCGGGCTCCACAGCCGTGCTCTGTATTCAGGCACTGAGGACTCAGGATGTTGTGCTATTGCTGTGGGGGAGGGGGTGCGTGACTCCATGTAGGAGCTGCCGAACGGCTCCTGGCGCTCACTGAGATATTGCCCCTGCCCAGATCAAGTCAATGCAGCAAGTATTTGTGGGGTTACCGCCTGCCCCCCAGAGGCTGTGGGAGGAAGTGGGGTTCTCCACTCTGAAGCATGTGATTTGGCGTATGGGGAAGGCACCAGAAACCGGGGTGCCACCTACAGCAAATACTACAGCAGACAGCTCCTGGGAAAGGAGAGTACATGAGCTAGGTCCCATTAGGCCCCTGGGGAGTCCAGTATTTTGGAAGGGCTTCCAGACCTAGTTAGGTCTTGGGGCACCAAAAGGTTCTGCCCAGGCCTGGAGCCCAGGCACTTGCACATGAAGTTCTAGGCTTTTTTGCGAAGAGTTGATGTCAAAGCTTTCTCCCTCCGGGCACACCCGAATAATAGTCAGTATCCATTTGCACTGCACATTTGCACCTTCCCTCTAAGGACCTCAAAGCACTTTACAAACATTAACAAACTAAACCTTGCAACGTCCCTGTAGGGAACTGTCATCCCCATTTTACAGAAGGGGAAACTGAGGCAGGGAGAAGGGAAGTGATTTGCCCACCATCATGTGGCAAAACCCAGACCTGTTCCTTAACCACAAGATCATTCTTCCTCCCCAAATACATACTCTACACACTGTATGCAATGCATCAGTGCCCAGCAGAGCCTTGGAAGTCACTGCCTTAGCCCGTCTCTGCATGGCACAGCTATACCGGTATAACCATGATAGCAGTTTTCAGGTATTTAAAAGGGTGTCATAAGGAGGAGGGAGAAAACTTGTTCACCTTAGCCTCTAAGGATAGAACAAGAAGCAATGGGCTTAAACTGCAGCAAGGGAGGTCTAGGTTGGACATTAGGAAAAAGTTCCTAACTGTCAGGGTGGTTAAACACTGGAATAAATTGCCTAGGGAGGTTGTGGAATCTCCATCTCTGGAGATATTTAAGAGTAGGTTAGATAAATGTCTATCAGGGATGGTCTAGACAGTATTTGGTCCTGCCATGTGGGCAGGGGACTGGACTCGATGACCTCTCGAGGTTCCTTCCAGTCCTAGAATCTATGAAAAACCCTCAGTGTAGACACTCTTATTCTGCTATGAGAGTGCCTTTTTTTGGTTTAGCCTAAACTTTTACTCATGCAACCTAAGCCAGATTGAAAGAAGACACTTTTATATCCAAAGAGGATTTTCTACACAATGGTATAACTCCATGATTTAAATTCACACCTCACCTTATACCACACTAGCTCTCCTGTATATACAAGCCCTCAGCACATAAAGTGCACGGTCACTATCTGCGTTGATACAAAGCTGTCTAACCTGACAGAAAATGACTTGGGGGTGATTACGGAGAGAACAGAGAGACTGAAAAGTACAAGCTGCAAAGATTGCTCAGGCCACGAGTTGTACAGGATATAAAGTAGTACAGAATTTAACCCAGTATTCAGATTCTAAGAAGAACACTGGAGCGAAAGCATTAAGGCAGCTATGAACGTCAGTCTCCGTTCAGTTATCTTTATACATGCAGCTAATAACTCCATCTTGTGTTTACACAGTGCGCTTGTCATTACTATTTTTGCACATGACGCTTCGCTCAGCAATGAAATGCAGCCAGCTCTGGGGTGAAATAACAGCTATTTAACCAAGCACAGCAATGCTACACCATAGGGAAGACCAGGAAGTGAGGGAAAAAGTCCCATATCCACTAGAAATGGAAGGTAGGCAGAATGCAATACTCTAAGTTGGCCAAGAAGCTGGGGCTGACACTCCTACTCATGTGAAAATGGCTGTAGGAGCTTTAATAACCACAAGTGAACAGGCCCTTGGTTTTTACATCTCATCTGAGACACATTCTGCAGCTGTGCGAAAATACTCACTAGCTCCCAACAGCTCAAAATAAACGTGTTCTGGCAAAAGACAGCTATCCAGGGGAGATGGGAATGTGAACGTGGTGCACTCATGGAGAAGGCCACTAGACAGAGAACTTCACGAGAAAACTTCATCTTTCCATAGTGACAGAGTAACCAACATTACAGGAAGGGGGTCACAAAACCAGCTCTGCTTTCACTGAACGTCTCCCAGGCAAAGCGTCCAGCATGTGTGCACTCTACAACATATGCAGAGATGTGTTTGTGTGGAGGACCTATGGCAAGCCATGGCTACGGTGTTTTTAATGTTAGTTCCGCAGAGTTGGAGGGACTGGGTTTGGGTATAACCAGCAGTAGTTTGCTAACACACTGCAACTTTCAGAAAGGAGGAAAGTCTTGTTGTTGGGGCACAAGCCTGAGGAGTCAAGGGACTCACATTCTATTTCCACCATTGCCCCAGATTTCCAGTGTGACTTTAGTCAAATCATTCCATGACTCAGTTTCCCCACTGGTAAAAGAAATGGATGTTTGTCTACTTCAGAGGGCTGTGAACTCAGAGAGTGACTAGGCAGAGGGGGAAAAACCCCATATTCAGCAAGGTCTTTCCCACAAAACTAGCATGTAGGGATCAGAGTCAGGAAAGCTTTGCTGTTCAGGACATCACAGAAGCATGCGCTTAAGATGCATTGATTGTGCGGTCCCGAACCAGGGCCTAGAACAGGAAGCAGAAAGGACAGAGATGTTCACTCCAAAACACTAGGGCCCCCTTCTGCCTTACAAACAATCATTGAGCAAGGGGCGGGGGAAGCAGAGCTGAAGTTAACACCTCAATTATTTGGATCATTGTAGCTCATAGACACCCCAGTCATGGACCAGGAACCTATTCCATGGGGACCAGATACTGCCCTTACGACATACAGCCCGTGACAGAGAATGAGCGGAAGTTAATTCATGTTTGTAAAGCACTAGAGATTTATACTGATTTGAAATGGGAGGCCTTGTCAGTGTGCCTTTAAAATTAGTGGTGTCTAGGAAATGTAGACCAGATGTAAAGAGAAATGTATTTAAACCAAAAACTGACAGCAATTCCAGCATGTATGAGGGGATTTTTGCATAAAGCCAGGAAACGTAACTATTCCTAAAAATAACAGCTGGCCCAGAGGGCAGAGTGAGATGAGGTCCAGTGGCTTAAGCCCTCGACTGGAAATCAAGAAATCCTGAGTTCTAATTCCAACTCCCAAACCAAATCCCTTGCACAAGTCACTTCCCCTGCCTCAGTTTCCTCAGCTGCAAAGTGTATTCGTATTTATATTAGAGTAGCCTTGACCAGGGCCCTGGTGTAGTAGGTGTTGTATAAACATACACAGATGGTCTTTGCTCCAACCAGTTTAGGATCCAAGAAGACAAACAGATTATGAAGACTAGAGAGGGAGACGATCCAATATATACATTTTTAATACATAGTGATACAAAATAATAAACAAAAGCAAAGGCAGTTAT